AACAAACTTCCTTCCAAAATGCATTCAACACCTTAGGTGTATTTTCGAGTCAAACAGTATTCAAAATGCTCCCATTTTGACGCCTCTTGATGCCAGAGAAAGCCAAGAGGTCGGCGATCGCCAGCGTCTGCCATACCTCCCATCGTCAGCTATGAATGGAGCCTGACAATTTTTTGTAATTACACAATGCCGCTGAATGCTCAGATGTCTGCCAACATAATCCTTTCAATTGATTGGCATCTCTTTCCCCTCGTTTCTTCAAATACGAGGATGTTAATGCCTCCAGTTTGCTTTCTTTTCATTACAATTATCGCTGTACTCTGACTCCTACTTCTAACCCTACGAGCAACTTCAGTGTTCCATTCAAAAAGTACATTTGTTTACGCAATCTTACTTAAGTAGTCTGCTAACGATTGAATCACTTCATTAAAAAAATTAAATGAAGCTCACCAATAATATGCAAATCAACTCAGACGGCTAACTACACTGTTAAAAGTAGCCTGCGTTACCTGCCGGCGTCCGAAATACATATTTGCAAAATATGGGCCTTGTCAACTCAGAAACAAATTTGCGTTCACAACATACATACATACATTCATACTTTCTACTTTTATTCATAAATAGGAGTTTACTAATAAGTATGAGAATGGATAAGAGCTGAAAAATTTTACTACAAGCTATTAAACCCAGATATATGTGTGGTTCCTCATGATAAGTGGATAACGAGCACTCATTACTGTGCTGAAAAGAGTTTCATTATTCTTCACCGGCACAGTTCGCAATACCTTCAGCATTGTTTCAGCATTTAAATTGCGACGTCCAGTTGCCTTTAACACTTTCACGGCGGTGATCCTAAGATGAAATATTAAGCAATAACTGGTTATGTTCAAAGAAAATTATTCTTTTTTTTTACCTTCTCTTGTCCTGATCCTTCTTCCAATGATCGAAATTTGTTTCAACCAAAAACCATTGATCCTCAGTCAAAGTCATTATATCTGCAGCTTTCTTGCGATCTCTGGAAATTAAATCAAATTGAGTACCGTTAAAGCAACACCTGCTTCAATTATTATATGCAAGGAAGGTGAACAGCTACTAATATCCCGAACCTTGAAATAATAGCACCTTCCCCGGCCTTTCGTCCACCAATAATAATGTATGAAGGTGAGAATAGAGGAGTGTTTGATAGATGATGCAAAGCGTCGTCGTAGGATTTCGATGACGCTAATACCTGAAAAATTCTGCTTAACGTATTGTACAACA